AAGGCAGGGCACAAAAGAAGGTGACTGCTAAACTTTGCAAAGACAAGGTAGGACAGTTCTTAAAAATTCCTGCTACACAGAAAAATCTTTCAGATATTCTAGGCTTGTAGGCCAAAGATGGATGCCCCAACACTGGAGTGACTGTACAGGCAACAGGTATCTCTGTCATTTCTATAGTTTTAGAAGTTGCTTGCTCTGTGTTCCCTGTTTACTCAGGTAATATTATATCATTCTTGGGTCTCTGATGGGGATTGAAGGCTATAGTATACAGTTTTCCTTGTTACCAAATTATGAAAAAAACTTACAATAGATATGAAGTTTATAAGGTTAAGAAACATAAAAGTCTACTTTTATTTAAGATGTTTTGGGTTCTAAAAAGATACTTTTAGGGTGGTAATACAAGTTATGATAGAAAATGATTTAGGTATAAGACTTTGGATTCACTAAGATAGGATATATAATACAACACTTTCTCCAAATTTGCCAAATACATATAGAGTAAACATTGTGTATGTAATTCTTACTTGATAATTGTTCTTACTGTATATAGTTTTACTATGTTAGAGTTAAAACCTTTCCTTTTTATTTAGACAAAAAATGGGAAATGTTGTGAGATATTTGTACACCGTGTGAAGGTGTATTGCTGTGATTAGTGTAATAAAAAGCTGAATGACTAATAGCTAGGCATGAGGTATTGATGGAATTTCCAGAGAGAGAAAGAGAAGGAAGAATCTAGGTGCGTGGGAGATGCCAGGAGACACAGAGAGGAAACAGGAGGTGCAAGATGGAAGAGAGGTATCACCACATGATTGAACATAGATTAACATAAATGGATTAATTTAAGTTATAAGAGCTAGTTAGGAATAAGACTAAGTTATAAGCAAAGATTTCATAATGAATAAGAAGTCTCTGTGTCATTATTTGGGAGCTGTCTGGCAGGACAGAAAAAGACTCATTACAATTCCCTTCCTAGGCTGGGGCTATGAGGCTCAGAGAATTGAACTGATTCAAAGCTACAAGCTGGCAGCCCCTCTACCAGGCAAGGCTAGAGTAACATTTGTCCACTTCAGGAGTTGACTTATTAGCTACTGTCCTTCCTCCACATTTTGTCCAGAAGAAGTTCCCTATAGAAAACCCATGGAAGGACAGCCTCTGCTTCGGCTCACTGAATACATGCACCAAATGAAAAGTTCTCTGTTTGGATGTGTGTCTGCCTCAACCATCAAATCTGAGCCCTTAATTCATATTCTCTTTTCCATTTCCAAACTCCCCAGGATGACCACGATGCACATGGATTCAGAAGCTACATTGATTCATTTACATAAGAATGTTTTCTTATTATGCATACAGAAATAGCAAAGGTTGTTTCTTTTCTTTTCTTTCTTTCTTTCTTTCTTTTTTTTTTTTTTGTTTTGTTTTGTTTTGTTTTTCGAGACAGGATTTCTCTGTATAGCTTTGTGCCTTTCCTGGCTCACTTGGTAGCCCAGGCTGGCCTCGAACTCACAGAGATCTGCCTGGCTCTGCCTCCCGAGTGCTGGGATTAAAGGTGTGCGCCACCACCGCCCGGCTTGGTTGTTTCTTATGTACCAGACATTCTGTTAGAATATATTATACAGCTCACCTCATGGTAATCTCAGTGAACCACCCTATCCAGTAGAAAGGTATTTTTATCCTCTTTCTGTGGAAGAAGAAATTGAGGATAAGTAAGTTTGAGTGAACTGACTTAGGTCACATGGTTTAGAAACAACAGAGAAGACCTTAGACTCTAGGAGGCAAATTTGCCTTTAAGCCCCAATTTTCACCTTGATGTTTCAAAAATTCAACTTTAGGAAAAGAGAATTAGAGATTTGAGGAAATCAGTGGAATATGAAAATCCCTCAAAAATCAGATGGAAGAATGTGCTGCAATCAATAGCAGTTATACTGTTAAGCGGAGGGACCTGCCATGAAAAACAGTCTCTGTAGCTTTGATACCAACTCTGGATATGTTAGTCAATCAGTGTGATTTCCTAAATTAGGAAAACTGATTTACTATGAAGGGTGGTGATGTAACAGAAGATGAAGGAGACTGTGTGTGTGTGTGTGTGTGTGTGTGTGTGTGTGTGTGTGTGTGTGTGTGTGAACATGTATCAAGGTAGGAATTAATGGAAAGAGAAGAAGCAAGAGTGCAAGAATGCTTCTAACTTAGTAATTCAAAAAACCTAGAGGTTTATTTGCAAAGTTCACCCAGTAAGGTGAGGAGTGTTGGAGAAAGCCTGTGCTGAGACGCCAGATTATCCTCAGAGCAAGGGCTGCTTTGCTTCTTCCTCTGTAGGCGGAAAGGCTTTGCTTTCAGGTGTCTTCACACCAAAATTCCAGCGTCTCTCACACCCGCCTATCGTATCAAGCTCGTCAGCTCTCACTTGTTGGAATGAGTGAGATTTGAGAACATCTGAGTGTGCTGTTCTGGAGTTCTTTGGAACAGGGAACAAGGCTTCATAAAAACGAGACCAGCCTTGCAGTGCATTGGACATTTGAGGCAGAGGCACCTCCTATGGAGTGAAGCCAAAGAGATTCCTTACAGGTGTAGAGGATGGCAGTCTCCATGAAGTCTAGAGCAAGGACTTTGGCAGGAAATATATATTTTATTTTTCATTTTTTTGATTACTCTAATTAAAATGTATGTTGCAGCAAATGGTAGCACTTCACTAAAAGAACCCAGTGTATCTTTGCCTCAAAGTTGTGTGAGAATTAGAAATGATCTGTGATTCCTAAAAAGAAATAACCACAAAGAAAGCTTTAATTTATTTTGAACACAACAAGAAGCATAGAAGTATAATGTAAAAATTTGAAACTTCCATTAAGACCTCTCACCTTTCAGAATCCAAGTTTGATATTTGTGACTGGTAGTAGAAAATGCAAATGTTAATCCAACTCTAATTGTGTTTTATCTTTTGCCCTGACTCTGTAATAAGGACTACCAAGCTAGAAGGCTCACAATTTGTTAGTGGTACAGGAAATTTTCATTGATAGTGGAACATGCACATGACTGCTGAGTTCTATTTATAAAATTCTTCGCTTTTTCCTTCAGGTTTACCAAGGGATTTGGTATTTTCTAAGACATTTAATTTGGTGTCTGGAAGCTTCCTTAAGTAAATAAACAGAAAATGTCTTTCCCGTTGATAGACAAAATGCTTTCTTCCAGTAGTCAGTAGAGGGCGCTGTTGGCATTTGATTTGGCTTCATAATGCCATGAACGTTCCATTCTTAATTAATTCAATGTTTGAAATCAAACCTCCGTTTAAATGTAATGATATTAATATGTGAGAATAGATGTGTAAACGTGGAGATTTTCCATTCCCGTTAAACCCACAGAACCAAAGGTCTCTAGTTCTCCTGTGAGCCCCTTTGAGAGTGCTTATGTATAGAAATGTTGGCCGCTATAAATTAACGCGGCACACAGTTGAGTTCATGCGTCCAGGCAATGATTCAACATTTCTAAGACTGATTGCCAGTCAGGAAGAAAGAAACTTCCTAAGGTTCGTAAGAAAAAAGGGGGTAAAAAAGAAAGCAAAAGTGACATTTGCCCTAGATACACGCTTGAAATTTTCAAAAGAAACATTTATGTGCTAGGTTTAAGGTAAAGTAATCCGATGGTAAATATCGCTTTGGAGTTAAGATTTCTAGGTGAATTTGACAGTGCGTTGTGCCTAGATTTTGATTCTATTTTTTCTATTCCATTTAAGTTCCTTAGCCACAGACTATGAAGGATACAACAGCCTCGGTATTAAAAGATATTTTTACTTTTCGTGCTTAGACTTCAGTTAAAATAGATTTCAAAGTAACAATCTCCAAGCAGCTCCCTCAAGTTTTGTGTTTATCCGACTGGCACTTTTATAATGCACACACCAGCTGCAAACAAGAAGGGGAGGGCTGGTGGAGGGCCTCGAAGGGATGATGGGCACTCCACCTTCAGAGGGCCTCGGAGAATACACTGTCTCGACGCCCAGGTGAGCAAGAGAAAAGCTGGCTTTAGATCCATCAGGAGTTCTGCCCGTAAAATGAACATGAAGGTAAAGTGTGCGGCATTTAAAACAGCGACATTAAAGACTTGCCACTTTCTCAGTCTAAAAATAGAAAATGACTTGCGGGGACAGTGAAGCAAGCCGCCGCCGTCTGTTTGCTGTGTTTTCTGAGACACACCCCCGGCTGCTGCCCAGGGTGGAAGGCTCCTTCATTGGGTTGCGCAGAACAGGGGATGCGGTTGATGGTGTTTCCAAGTATATAAAGAAGTGCCACTTTCTGGGGACAGTACAACACATTGCAATTTGCAAACAAAACACCAAGCCAAAGGCCTGTCACTGTTCACAAAACACATGGAACTTCTTGGAAGGCAAAGGGAACGAGATCGTCCTGTGTTTTAATGGAAAGGTAGACAAGGTTCTGCGATATTGTCAGGCAGCGTCTGTTTCTCTCTGATCGTTTACACTCTTTAGTGTTTCCGGGTTGCTCTGCGCTTGTGTTGATTTCTGGCTTTCCAATCAAGATGAGTTTTGCTTTTCATTCTGAAAGGAAAAGCTTGACTCTGCCATTCAGGTAGAGTTCAAAGAAAGAAGCAGAAATGCTTTGTGGTTCTTGAATGCTCTAGATAGCTGGAGACAAAAAGGTCCAGTACTACTACAAATAGAATTTTAGGTGAAATTTTTGTTCCATGTGAAGCATTAATTTTAATAGAGACTTATATATAAACGCTCATTTGAATAATAATGTGAAATTAAATTTAAATTGTAAATACCGTCCAGTACTAGCTGTTTCCTGGCTCCAACTCTTCAGCACATATGGCGCTAGCATAAGCTTGTGCCTGTCTGCCTACTCCGGGTAATTTTGCATGCAAATAGTTTTAGTGCCTATGTTGAGGTGCTAAAACGTGTTTAGTACACTTGAAAATATTTGCATTGCAAAAGGAGAGTGACTCTCCTGAGGAAAATCAAATTGATATTTTGTATTAAGAGACCACTCCGGGCACCGTGTGGTCTTCCGCGGAGACTTCTGTTTACAGTACAGCCAGCATTTGAAATTGACCTTCAGAAGGAAAGGTCCGGCTATAGCTTTGGCAACTTGGTAAACCATGGACCATCTTCTGGCAGGGTTCTCCACATTAGTCAGCAGGACAGAGAGAGCAGGAAGGAACATTAGCTGCTGGTCTGTTGACGGTTACTTCTCAAGCCTCGCTTTGGTGGACTGGTAAGAGAATTCTGCGAATTGTAATCTAAGTTTCAGCTGGAATGCACCTAACCAATTAGCTAACTAGCTAACCAACTAACTCAGGGAAGGCTTGCGTAGAGGGGAGCAGCAGCGGCTGCTGGGCGTGAGGCCCCACACACGCTCACTCGCTTCCATTTGCCTCACTCCCATCTGCTGCATTTACGGGAACCAGTTCGTTAAGTCTGAATTGAATCCAAATAAAATGCATTTCTGATGCAAGCCCGGTGACTGGTGCCATTCTCTGCTGCATTATGTCAAATTAGAGTTTGTTTGGAAAAGGGGTTACAGAGAGCCTACGTAAATGTCGCTTGCACGGAACATTGATCCAGTAAGAGTTCTGCACAGATTCAACATCCACTTTCTATAAACAAATCCCCCCTCTCCAGTTTGACTCCTATTCACCAAGACTGAGTCAAAATATTAGAACCCCTAATGAAGTAATAAATAAAATTCAAGGCATGCTAGTGAAATGTTTGTGGAAGTTCTCTTACAGCCATCTCTTTCATGTTTTTAGAGAATTTCATTTTATTACCTAGGCTAGTTGAGGAGGAGTATGTCCTTATAAAATGAAAGTAAGTCTAGTGTCTACAAAAGAAACAAATGATATGAGGCACACAAGAGGAAACCTGAGTGTGGGCGATGTCTCTCCCTGCAACTCCGTCTGTTGAGAAGGGAGGCCGCGGAATGATGACGACTCCTGTTGTTGGAGATGGGCAGTTCTACGCCAGAACTCCACAGAGAACTGCCTACTACTGATGCTAGAGATCTCGGAACTCCAGGGTATACCCAGCTAGTTGATGCCTTCATCTCTGCCACTTTATGTAGCGTCTATGTGTAGCATTTTGTACCAATGAATAGCCAAAGTCAGGCAGCAGGGCAAGAGTCAAAAGAAACTCATTACAAACACAAGCCAGCTTGGAAGGTCTGGCTCTACTGTGGGATGAGACTCCTGGTTGCAATCTATTTCATTTTTTTTTTCTTTCAGAAAGGAGCCTCTGTTTTATGTAGGACCCAAGCACATCCATCAACCCATTAAGCAAGTAAATAAAGCAATATCTAAACAATAAATCATTTTGCATTTCATGCATGCACAAACCCTTTGATACCGAAATGACAAGAAAGGTTCACGTTCCGAGGAGGAGGAGACAGACTTTCCTCCAGTAGTTTTGCATATACGATTAAGGGGTTATTCTACACTCTGGTGCACTGCTCATTCTCGACCCCAAATCGTGAGGGCTTCTTTCTCCTTTGGCGATAGTGGAGTATGATTCCCAGCATGGAATTGTTTGGGCGAGTGAGTGGGAGCCTGCTAGCACATGTGTGGTTGGGGAGGGGCATGCTGTTCAGGAGAAGCCCACCACACATTTCTGCCATCACAGACGGTGGGCAAACAGCTGCCTCCACAGCTGAGGCCACTGGAGCTGCCTGCCCTGCTCCAGTAACTCGTGAGCACATGGCTGGTCCCTGGATGGCACCAAGCCCTGGGCGGCAGCAGAGCGGCCCCAGCTTTCCTGAGGCTGAGCAGGCGGGGACTTTGCCACCAGACACAATAAGCATGTGAAATCAGGTCTCATGAATAATTCATCCTTGGTGTCCTATGAAACAAAGAAATGGTATGTTTGCTGGGAGATAACCATGTTCTGGCATTTGTAAATCTTCCTGAATTTGGAGTTGATCGTGTGTCTGCTGTTGGAAAAATGTTATGTTTTGTTGTGTTTTTAAATTTTTCTAACACAAAAAGTTGGAAGTTCAACATAGTAATTTTACCGTGGAGGTCTTCCATGACATATTGAATGGGTTATACTAATTTGGCTCATGATTTGGGAATCTAAAAAAGTAAATTCTCATTTGGGGAAAAGGGATGCTAAAGTGGGTTTACTGCCATAGACTACAGCAGGATACAGAGTTCTCAAGATTATTTCTTTCTTACAAGGCAAGAGGCCCACTTTGCTGGTGCAAGTTTCATTGCTGTGGGCTGGAAAGGCTCCGGAGCTTCCAGCACGTCACAGCAACACTGGAGGAATCGATTCCCTCACTTTGACCATATTTTAAAAAAAAAAAACGATACTTTGCTGAATTGAACTCGAAATTGTTTTAGTGACTGTTAAATGCTCACTAGTTTAACACCAGTTAAGTTGGTAATAAAATAACCCCCGATCAAGTGAGGCCACCATCTATCCCTGTACTGTAGCTGGACCCAATGCCAGAGGTCCACAGAGCCACTGGGTAATGCACATGCATTTGCTCAAAGAATGCTGCTAGAGTGTTGTGCGAACTACCTGGCTCCCCAAGCTTATTTTAATTGGTATTTATAATTAGAATCAGTGCATTCATTTTATTGAATTCTTAATATCCTCAAGAAAAGTAAGACTGAAGAGTTACTCCTCTTGGAAATGAGTACCTGGTAAGACAGGCCCTGGTGCTATGCTCTCTCATCCTACCGGGAAGGATCTCCTAACTCTGCCTTCTGCTGTTCACTCATGCTTTCTCCACGCACTCACTTTTTTTTCTCTCATTTTTTCTTCTCCTCACATTTTTCTATCTCCCTGAATCTCCCTAGCTTTCAGGTTACCTCTGAACCTGAGTTCCTCTCTATCAGGAACCTCATGCAATCCAATCTGTTGGAAAGAGAAAATCTGAGAGAGGCCACATTGATTTTGCAGAATGAACAAAAAGAGAAGCAGAAATGGAATAAGGTTCTGCCAATTATATACTGGAATGAAAGCACAATTCTTTTTTGCTCTTGGGTAAGGGGGTTGGCAGCTGAGGTATGAATTGGCAGGTGGTAGAACTTCTAGTAAAGAAAAAATATGAGCACCTTGAAGTGTGTGTGTGTGTGAGAGAGAGAGAGAGAGAGACAGAGAGAGAGAGACAGAGACAGAGACACAGAGAGACACACACAGAGAGAATGACATTAAATACCCTGTCTTTTGCAGATGAGTAAGGGAATGTCTCATAGTGCAAGTGTAGCTGCAGCAGAGCTCAAGTCCTTGTGTGCCTGATAGAAAGACCCCGAGTATTTTTGACCTTCTGTCTTTTGTCATTGTTTGAGTCCTCACCTCCGCTGTACATGGCAACAGCCTTGCTGTGCAGTCATGTAGCACCAATCTTCTTTGCTTTGACTGTGCATGGTTACTAAGACTGTAAATAAAAGTATGGTGGCCCACAAACTGCTTGGTCTCTAGAAAAGATAATAGACTTTAGAGGGACAAAAACTAACTCAGTGTTATCACTGAGTTAGACCAGTTGGACCAGTGAGGCATCATTGGGAATGGGGAGTAACAGACTTATAAAGAACAAAACATAACAAAAACAAGAAAACAAAACACAATAAAAACAGATAGGGTCATACAAGAAGAGTGGTCATTTCCTTTGATTTTCTGTGCTTGCCACCTACCAGCTTCAGCCATGACTGCATTATGTACTTGGTGTTAGCATGGGGTTGCAGAAGTTGCTCAAGTCCCCTCTCCTGAGTACTGTCCTTGTACTCAGCCATTTGCTAGCCTCTTCCTGGGCAATATCACTTAGACTTGCAACATTTGTTTCCAGTATGGAAGAGAATCATTTGTGGAATAGTAGGCAAATTTATGCTTCTAATTATGTATATTATGATATGAAAATATTTAAGGACTATAAGGAAATATAAGATATCTACAGGAGTGATCTATACTAACAAATGTTAATAAAGTGAGGAAATGATGGAAGAGCAATCAACAACCTGTAAAATTGGCAATATGTCCTAAGTTAAACAGTTGGAATCTCTAGATCAAAGAATCCTGGAGTTAATGCTACCCTGGTCTTTGCTAGATTTGTGCTTCCAAGAGACATTCAGTTTCTCTGGATTATAAGCTTTATCTGAAAATGCAAACAAAAGTACAGGCCTCAGAATTTATATTTTAAAAACATTGGAATTAGTACTACCCCTAGAGCTACAGGGGAGTGAGAGTGGAGTAACATTAGGCTTTGGCCCCTTTAGAAATTTGGAGGTTGTCCCTCCTTGGGTGGAGTGCCCCCTGCCTCCAGGAGGAAGGTTAGACAAAGTCTTAGTATGTGGTCCAGGTTAGTCCTCAGTTTGTGACAATCCTCCTGCCTCAGCCTCCTAAGTGCTGCAATTACAAGCTGGTACCAGTAGTTCTGGCTTCCTAGCACGACTCAAAAAAGTGTGTGTGGAGGGTGGGGAAGCAAGTTCTCAGAGGAGGCAAGAATCAACTGTCTTTTTTGTTTTCTCAGTAGTATTTTGTGCAAGGCGGGCATAACGAACATCAGAAGTACAGGGCTGAGCCCTCACCTCTTGCTTTTTGTTTGTTTGTTTTGTTTTTTTAGCTTTGTCTCACAGAATTCATTTGTAGATGCCTGTTAGTATAAAATCCACATCTGAGCTGAGCCTCCCTTCCACATGAAAGGAATGCTCATCTGTTGTGTGGCTTCCAAAGATGATGGGAGTCATAATGCTTCTCCATCACACTAAGCATTTCCTGTGTGATTGATATGGAAAATCTGAGCAATTTCCACCACACAGTTATGAGCCATCATACAGGTGCATTTAGTTTTTAATTAATCCTAAAAATGTTTTTAATAATTAGTAGCAATACCACTAATTGGCATGTAAGCCGTTCTTGTACCAGCAGGCAAACTGTAGGTTTACTTCAGTACACCCACACCCAATCAACTGAAAATTGCTCGAATGCTTATCTTATAATTACTGTGCTTAATGCTGTTTGCATTGTTTGGAAGCTTTTGTGATTAATTGATTTTCTTTTTAAACCTCAACCTGTACATGGAACAGCAAGGATTAGTCCTTTGCTGAGTAACATCTTATTTATATTGAATTGTTTGGACACATATAAGGGAAAAATAATAGGGTTTGTTTTCACCTGTCAAACATAGTTCTTCTGTTTAAGCTATGGCTAGACAGACCTATGTAGAAATGGAAGATGCTACCCACAAGTCTTGGGTCAGTTGGCTCTGTCCTTGGCATT